GCACAGTGTGATTTGGCACTTGTGCACATGTGCAAGCAGCGAAACCCAGAAGTAACCCTTTCTGGTACTTCTGGTTCGCCGCGGGACGCAACCTGAAAAAACATGAAACGTAACATGAGGTATGACTGTACTTCCTTTTGCCAATCCTGAATCTTCCAACATTAAGCTTCACTGCATGTTCATGAGTTCTAGTGCTATGACACAGAGAGAAAAACTTTTCTCTTCCCACTTTATCCATGCTGTGAATAATTTTATAAACTTCCATCATATCATACCATATATTTGTATAATGGCGCTATGATACTGAAAGTTTTATTTTAATTTTTCCGCCCTAGTATGCCTTTTCCACAGCTGCTGCACACTGGGGTAGACATCCTCATTGAGTTGCCTACTATGACCCCAATGGCTCATTCCTGGTCAGTCACTGCCAGTTCAGACTCCATGAGCATAGATGCATTATTATTTTTGCATGCATCTCCTCACACTTTCTACACACTGAATTGCATTTGCCATTTTACAGTCCATTCACTCAGTTTAGAGAATATTTTTTGAAGCTCTTGAAAATCTTTTGGGCACCTCATTGCTCACCCCATTTCTAGATGCTCTATGAACAAGTTAAAAGGTACAGTATCAATCCTTGGAAAACTCCACTTTCTACAGCTCTCCATTCAGAGAACTTTCAGTTTATTCCTACTGTTTGCTTCCTATTAACCAATTCCTCTTATACCATAACTGCTAAGCTTACTTGGGAATCTCTGGTGGGGCAACTTGTCATAAGCTTTTTGAAATGCAAGTACTGTAAGCAGATCACCTCTAACTATGTTTATTGACATTCTCAAAGAACTCTTAATAGCTTCATAAGACAAGAGTTGTCTTTGCAGAAGCTATGCAGGCTCTACTTCAGTAAGTCTTGTTCTCCCATATGCTTAGTTATTTTCTTATTAACAACACTTTAGATCACTTTTTTTCTGGCACAAGAAAAGTCCAAGCCCATATAAGTGAAACCATGCGGTTCACATGAAAAGATAATGGTTTCAGTTCTGTAATATGAAGACAAGCAAATAAATCATTCTTCAAGTTACCAGAAAGCATTATTCCAGTGCCTGTCTCACCTGCCAAAAGAAGCCCGGCCAAACTGGCACCAGACCACAGACTTTTGCCAGAAATAAGATCCCACTACCTCCCCGCCTATCCCCGGTAAAGTAAGGATGTTTATAGGACGTTTGAAACAGATATAGCACCTATAAGCAGATTCAAGTCCGTCGTGTATCAGATAGGAGGAAAAAAGAACAAAAACGGGAATTAAGCTCTTTCTCCGCCTGTATTGTAGCAGCCTCTGACGGGTATCCTACAAGACGATTCGGGAGCGGCTGATGGAAGCCCAAGGGCGGCGCACACCTGGGGCTGGCGGGCGCCTCGACATGGATTAACTAAAGCCTCTGAACAAGCAACAACGCTTCTCGACCCGCCTCGTTCGCTCCCACAAGTAGTGGCCCAAGTCACTTCCGGCTTCAGAGGGCGGGCAGGACAGGCCAACGGAGCGAACGGGGCCCCTCACCATTTCTCGGCGGCCCAATTGGGACGGCGTCCTGGGGTCAGGCAGGAGCCCGCCGTTGCCGCGAGCGACCCTCGGCTTTTATTTATTCCGCGGCCGGACTCGCCTTCGGGGCGCAAGAGGGGAAGGAAGGAGAGAGGGGTAGGGGGTTTCCGGGGAGGCCTCCTCGCCCCACCACAGGGGACAACACGTGCAGGGACAGGCGAGCTACGGGCAGGCCCAGCTCACCACTCCTTTGCTTAGCGCTTCAGCGCCGGCTACGCCGGGAGAGACGCGGGACGCAGGCCGCCCACCGCTACCGCCACTACCGCTCGGCCTCCCGGTGGCTTCCGCCAGCGCCGGCCTTGCCGCCTGGAGCGAACGGCGCGGTTCTCACCTGGGGCGGGCCGGGGGCGAGGGTCTCGGGGCCGGGGCGGGCGCCTGGCTGAGCCGCTCGCGCTTCTCTAGCTACCTCCTCCGCTGGTTCCCAAACAAAATGGCGCCGGGAGTCGCGCGCTCACGTCGCGGCCCTTCTCTTCCCGTCTTCCCCTGCGACGGACGTAAGGCCAGGGGGCGGGGGCTCCTCGATCTCGCTTAGGTCGCCCGCGCGAGGAAGCCCTGGCCCAATCGCAGGCTGTGTCCAGCTCCGCGCTCGAGCCCGCCTCCCTGCTCTCGTCCAATCCCCACCTCGAGGGGCAGCGCGATATTATTTTTTCGCCTTTGCGTCTGCGTAGGGACGAAGGCCAGGTTACCCAATCCGTGTTCGGAAGTGGTTGCTGGAAGGCGGCGCAAAGCGGAGGAGATAGCTAGGGGGCGCTGCAGAACTATCGGCCGACAAGGATTGGCTAAAGGCAATATTGAGCTCAGCTCGGCCAATCATAACGTGGCGCCACGAAGGGAGCGTGTCAGCTACGACCAATAACAGTTGGGCGCGGTTGCTGTGGCAGAGGAGCCAGGCGTGAGGCGCGATTCCTTGGGAAGTGTAACGGGGCAGCTAGGAGGTCGACGAGCACTCCACCCTGGAAGGAAGCGCATGCGCACGGGCTTCCCGGAGAGCGGGGGTGCGCCTGAGGCGGTTGTGCAGCTGCTAAGCGGGTTTTCGCAGCCTCCCTTCGGAGCCGCTCCCGGCGCCTGGCTTGTGGGGGGTCCTCTCGGAAGTCCGCTTCCCTGGGGCTTCTCCGCGGGGCCGGAGTAGACGGGGGTCTGAGAGGGACCAAAGTGTTGGAGAAGCAGCATCCTGGGTGGGGGAAACCACGTGCCATTGAGGTCTGTTTCCTTCAGGAAAATAAAAAGGGCAACTGAGAGCGGACGTGAAAGAGGTGCTTAAAACCACGGCGGTGCGGTGGAGAAAGTGGGCAAAGAAGTCCCCCCTCCCTCTCTTAACGTTGAACCCCCGCCAGTGAAGCTGAATGTTGCAAGATTCAGGCCCGACCAACTCGCTGCTACTTCCTCCTCGCCTAATTAAAGTGTGTTGAGAGGCCCACAACTCTGAGGGCTTAAACAAATCTGTTAGGCAGCTGTGTACTGTGCTGCCAGTTGTCAAGGCTGAGAGGCCTCCAAGCAGGTTAGTGGACAGCACAAGTGTGTTGCCTTCATGTGGCTGCTTTGGGGCTTCTGGCAGGCATTGGATTGGCCACTCTGAAAATAGGTTATTGGATCAGGTTGATGGCCTGATCAAGCAGTGCTCTTCCAATTTATTTAATTTGTATACCACCCATAGATCTCGGCAGTCCACAATGTACAAAACACAAAATATGTAATAAAAATAAAATCAAAGACAACACAATAATATCCCCTTCCACAGCACATTTTAAAAGGGCATCGGATGTCAGTCAGCCAAAGGCCTGGTTAAAGAGGACCATTCCACAAATGGGAAGCCATTGCAGAAAAGGGCCATTCTCGTGTTGCCACTCCAAACCTCTCATGGAGGGGCCTTCCAATGATCTTAAACAGTCTCTTCTTAAACTTCTGATATGTAACAAGAATGGATGTTGGTATTAATCTTCTCCTGCTGCCATTTTCCCAGCAAAAATTACCTGGGGTAGGTTATCCTTGCACAGACCAGAGTTTTAATCCTAGGAAACAGGTTGTTTTAAATCCCAGAACCCCAATCCTGATCTTTCTCCCCCTTCCCCAAAGTGAGTTGCAAAAAGGCATCATTGCATATGGTTTGGCTCTGCAGAGTAGGACATACTGGGTTTTTTGACTACGTGCCATTCTGTGCAGCTTCACACAGTCAATTAAGAGTTGGCTGAAAGCCAAGGATGACTGAGCAGAGAGGAGTTAATTCTGCCTTGAGATATGACACCTTGGATACAGCTCTACCATTGGTTGAGGTCTCACAGAGGCATGATGACTTATGACCTTACTGACTGGATAGTTTGTTAGTCAGTGTGGTGTTTTGAGAGTCGTTTGGAGTTTGTTATGAGAGAGCTAGTTAAGATCTGTTTCTGTTCTTGTATATAGTAACTTGTAGAGTCTGCTGTAAATAATAAACACCTCTAAGTAATCAAATTACTGGTAGCAGCGTCTTGTTCCTGCTTCGTCCATCCTGCCTCCAACTGATTGCTTTCTGAAACTCTGTGAATGCTCTGCTAAGGTCTGGCTAAGGTCCTGCAACAAGTCAATGTTGCAAAACACCAATAGGACACTGGTAGTTTCCCCTGTAACGCTCTTGCTGTTTGTGGCTTTGCTCTTCAAGGGCTCCAGCCAAGTAGGCAGGACTTTGTAAAATCTGTTTTGGCAGCTTGTGAGCCTTGTAGACCTCAGGTTGGAGTGGAGGAGGATTTTCTGTCATAGCATGACAAGCTGGGTAGAGTTGAGACAATCCCTGCCCCCTCCCTCTGCCCCCATGGCAATGGGATGACCAGCCTGGTCCAACCCAGTGACGGAGCAGCCTCAGAGAGCTTGCTCCTTTCCCACAACAACAAAAAACACTGTTCCGACTGCCTGTTGCTCTTTGGCAAGGGAAGAGCAAGCCATTTTGGCCCTATGTCACCATCCAGACGATGAAGAGCCAGTTGCATACTTGCACCACTTTTATGTGAGGAAAGGAGAATAACCTCAGCTGGATGTGGAGACTTTTGTACAACTTACGCTCTGTTCTTGCAACGTTAGGCTGATCTCCCGTTTCTCTTGCTTTCTTTTAGTTGGTAAGTCAAAGGGAAGGGCCTGTTACTTTTTTTATGTAAGCTGCTTTGCGAGACAATATTTTTCTGAAAGCAGTATATAAATATAATAAATATATTCAGGTAGGGTTGCCATATTTCAAAAAGTAAAAACCAGGACACCCCAAAAGTTGTTGAGCTTTTATATATATACAAAAACATGATGTATGGCAGCCCTAGAATCAGGTCATGTTATAAGTTCTCTGCCATGGGGGGGGGCATTTCTGTGTGATGCCCTCCCAAAAGTGCCATAGAAGTATCTGTTCTCCCTGTCCTGCCAAGACTGACCACACACCCAAGAGATTACATGATTTAATAAGTTTTTGCAACTATTCAATCATAAAAAGATAAGTATGTACATAGCTTCAATTATGTTACTATGTTACAAAGTATTGTGGAATACCATTTCCCCACAACTTTTCAGTGGTATTTACTATTTTAAAATGCATAAGATCAGATGTAGCTGGCTTTGGAGAGGAAGCATTCAAACATCTTCTGAGCTTGTCCAGGCTTATACTGTGGAACCATGTGACCAGCACCCTATATATGAGAGGGAAGATGCTTTAGAAAAAAGCTGAGAAAGCACATCTGAAATAATTTCCCCCTTCCCAAAACATCGTGAAGGATACTGGAAGCTTATATTGAGCAGAGCAAGAAGAGGCAGGAGAGAAAGTAACTTTTCGCCAGTGCTGTCTTGATAATGCGTGTGCAATTAATCATATATTGGCTGTGTTTTCACATAAACTGGGGTTAATGTTATTTAACAAACAAGCCATGTATTGTTTGTTTAGAGCAGGTGTGGGAAACCGTGGCCCTCCATTTGTTGCTGAACTACAACTCCCATCATCATTAGCCATGCTTGCTGGGACTGATGGGAGTGGTGGTTCAGCAACAGCTGGCAAGCCAAAGGTTCCCCACACCTGCTTAGATCTTATTTGTTTTCTAGCTACTCTTGTGTCATGCCTTCTCAAGCTTGAGGAGCATCTGGGGTAACAGGTAGGGAAAACAACCATAGTTAGGCAGGGTTGTTAGGTTCATAAGTAATGTTAAACCGTAGTTAGAATAAGCCATGATTTTTAAGCCAATACCAAGCCATGGCTTCACATTGTCATTTGCTGATAGAAAATAAACAGGCTAGTTTGCTGATATGTTTTCACATGTTCAGACAAACCACAGTTACGCTAAACAAACCATAGCTTAATGTTACATGAGAACCAGGCCTTTGTTACAGGGCCCAGGATTACACCTAAGCCCTTTTAATAATGGGTCTCTCCAGCTAGAGAAGCCATTGCCCCCAACGTGTTTTCTGTTGGCTGCTTATGCTCTTAACTGTCCAGCATTTTTTATGGGACACTGCACACACACACAAACACATATGTCATAGGTGAGGGACTGGATGCTTCTGTAGGGCGCATGGAACAGGTGGCAGGTCCTGTTTAACCGTGTACTAAAATCATAGTTGTCGCTTGATGGGGAGGTGATCTAGCAAGCAATAGCATTTCCCAGGCTAGAAGTAGTGTAAACTCAATCAAGCCATGAGTGCCAACCCTCCACACCATGTATTGGGGGCAACATTTTATTTGCTCTGTCCCTGATTGGTAGTCAGTGCAGCAGTTTCCCCCAGGCTTTTCCTTAAAGGTTTATCCTGGGAGCAAAAAGCCTCATTTTTAAGGGCAGAAGATTCCCAATGTAAAACTGTTACCCAGATCAGTACTTTTGCCTGCTAGGACCCATTTTGGCAAAGAAATAAAAGGTGCTTCCTCCTCCTAGAACCTGAAGGAAAAGCTGGAAGAGTAGAAGTAGCAATCTTTTATAACCCAATGTTATTGGCTTTGTTTACTGTTGGAAGAGGGGTCGACCTTTTTCTGTGGCTGTGTTGGGATGAAATCTGTAAAGCAGTCACTGGGCCCATCACAAAGCTCTATCTTGAGAGCCATGTCATGCTTAAAAAATAACTGAGCCCATATAATGTGCTTTCTAAACAAGCTTTTGGCTCTGCTCCTGCTTTAAAGTATTGGCCGTTAGTGTTGCTCTTCCTGTTTTTGTGTTATCCTGCTGTTTATAAACTTGTTATTTTGTCTTTTAATTATTAGCGTGTTGCTGATTTTTACTTGAAATCTGCTTTGAGTAACACTGTTGTACAGGGGAGAAGCAGGGCATAAATCTTTTAAATAATGAAAAGTATAATGCCCACTGGCTCCAATTAAATCACTGACCTTTACGGTGAGAAATGTGATCTTCTCATACTCCTTGAAAAATCCTGCAATCTGATCATTGAAATACCAGGGCTGGTAATCATTTAGCACCTGTGGAATTAATGAAAAAGAAGGTCACAAACTGGAAACGGACAGCAGACCCAATATTAGTGTACATACTAGTCTATCACAGATGCTCCAAAACTGGCTCTTAGTAGACTTATTACTCCAGATCATGTTTTGCTAATTCTCTTCATCTCTGCCCATCCATTCTAACTTCTTTTCTAAATGACAGCTTGGTTATGTCTTTAACAACAACTGCACACCTGTCGGTGTTGGAAACCTGGGTCCTAAAAGGCAGGATCAGCTGTGTCTTCCCACATAAATTAAGGAGCAATAGGTTTTCAATACAGCACTTAAGATATGCAAAGTTCAAAGGAGTTACTTACAGTCTGATTTAAAGACTCAACAAACTTTTCAGCCCCCAAGAAGTTGCAGGCCATGTCCACGTCTCCATTATAAACCAATGCTCGTAGGTCCTGAGCCAGCAGATACTTGTAGAAGGGAGTCATGTCTCTGTACACCCTTTGGTAATGAGCGCTAACCTGTGTACTGCATGGAGAAGAGAAATGCATGGGGGGGGGGTTCAAGGAGCTTGGGCCCCTCATCCCTTCTCACCTTTGTTTCACCAGTAAGATCAAACCAAGGGTGCCCTTTTGATTTTGTCACCAAGGTGCAAATCCAAGCTGCCAAGAGCATGCAAGTTGGGGTTCTCATTGACTGCCAACAGCCACAGAATTCCTTTCCTGCTCCTGCAGGCCTATCAGAATATGAGCATAAGCCAAGGCCATCCACCACCAAGTGGTTTCAAGGGGAAATGATGCTGAATATACAAACCCATGTACTCTATACCTTGCCCCAGAGGAAGAATAATAAATAAGCTGGGGAGAAATAAATGTTCCCAACCTTAGCGGTCCACAACTGAGACAAATATCCTTTATAATTTGATCCAGTGATGTCTTGAAGGCAGTTTGTTTTACAACTGTTTTCAGAATTCTCATACAATTGAGATCTAACTTATTAGTTCCAGCCAAAACCTCTTAATGCCAGGTAGTAGCAGTTAGTTGTTGTATTCATTGTCTCTTTTAAGGAAAACCATCTAAGCCACAATAAGTCATTTTAATGGGAAATGGTGGTAAGCATCAGTACTTAGAATACAGAAAAATGCACAACTATGCTAGGTGTGTAGCCATGTGGAAAACCTTACCCATGGAGAAGTTATTTTTGCAAATAAATTTCCTGAACATGTAATGTCACTTCTCAGTGAGACTAAAATATCCAAATAAATAATTATAACATTTTGCACACCCCTGCAAATGCCCAACAAAAATACCACAGAAAACTATTGATGACTGCATGTAAGATGAACAAGGAGAAGAAAGGTCCATTTGTCACCTGAAAAAGTTCTACCAGATGACTCACTATGCATGCAACCCCAACAGAGAAGCAGGGGAAAGATTTCTTCAATATCATAAAAGACTTTTGCCACTTCTTACAAGGTGACTGTAACACGATTGTTGTTCTCCCAGGACTATCAGTATTGGAGATCTGTCAGCTCACCCGAGGGGTCTTGAAGAAGCAAGGTAGTCAGTACATCAGTAAAATCTTCAGTTCCCTTCACTTGATTTCATATTGTATATCCATACAAAAATTGGAAGTATTTGGGACAAAATTATCTGGGAAAGGAGACTACCCTTGCAGATAATTCTGACATCGCTTCCAGGCTTAGGGCAAGAAAGTATGGGCAGAGTGAAACAGGTGCTTCACGTTAGAGGTTTGTCAAAACAAAGATGGGGAAGCTGTTTTTGTTGCAGTCTGCATTTTCATTTGATCTCAGTCCTAGTACATACCCATAAGTTATCAAGCTCTGGCAACCTGCAGTGCATCAGTTCTATACCAGCAGAGAAACACCATTTCACCACAAAGCCTCGCCAGGCCACTGCCCTTCATTACCATTCCATTACCAAACAACTTTTTCATGCTTCTGAAGGGCAGAAACATTTGATGGGAGTCACCTGCAGAGCTCCCAGTCTGGGAGAGTGCTGGGGATGTGGAGAGCCTGCCGGACTTCATCCTGGTTCAGCCACACATACATAGCGGTGGCATTTATACAATGTGGCACTCCTGGGATGGAGCCAATTTTCTGAAAGTGAAAGCAAGGAGAAGGCAAGATGAGGTTGAATTCTTCTGGGAAAAGCTGGTGCAAGATAACAGCACCTTGCTTTGCCAGACCTAAGCCTGATTCAGCAAGTGGCCCATAGTTCATTTATAAATGGATGAATCATGCCTTCCCAGCATAAACTTTTGGGAATAAATTTCCATACTGAATATTAATGCTTCAGAAAATGTTGTGGTTTTTTTGGTTTTTTTAAGTTTGCCAAATTCACAGAATCGCTAGAGCCCCCTGAGTGATGTAAATTTGATGGAGATAGCCTAGCAACTCACTGGCACTGGAACATCAAACTGGTAGTGGTGGAAGAGGCTCGAGAAATCAGCTTCATAACGCTCCTGGTAGTGTGCTCCTCCCCAGCAAGATGGGTAGAGGTTGTACACGTTGAGGCCAATTCCATAAAGAATTCCATAGGCTTGTGATATCTTGAGGATGGGAACAGGGAAGAAAAGAAGAGTTAGCTACGCTCTGCGTTTATGTGCAGAAAGAGGAAAAAGGAAAAAGATGCGTGGAATTTGGTAATATTTATAGCCTTCGAGGGTCATCAGTTTATTTTTATGGGTTTATTATCAAATTTATAACTTGCCCTTCTGCCCAAAGGAGCCCAGGGCAGCTAACAACAAAGCGATAAAACATATTCCAAAATCTTAAAAACAATTCCAATACAGATGCAGACTGGGTAAAGATAGCCACTGAAAAGACAAGATTGCAGCTTGCAAGGGGAGGGGATTCCCAAGGGTAGGTGCCCCAACACTAAGGACCTGATTACTACATTGTGCAGAACAGACCTCATTATAAGATGGTATCTGCAGGCAGCCTTCACCTACAGAGCACTGTGATCAACTGAATATATAAGGGGTGGGATTATCAGGAATCCTAGTTCCAAGGTGTATAGGGATTTATGCACCAAAACCAGCACATTGAACTTAGCCCAGTAACTAATTAGCACCCATTGCAATTATTTCAACAGTGTGGTAACATGTTGGCAATATCCTAATGCTGTTCAGAGAATTTGGTGTAGTAGGTGCTATGGGCACAAAACAGGGCAGAGACATTTCCAGAAGACTTTACTAAACCCATAATCTACCAGTTCAGGCCAAAACACATTATTGCATAACAGTTAGAACATTCTAGTTTGTGGCCAGGTGCAAATGGAGTTTGCAAAGTGCACACTACATGAGTTAGTATCAAGGATTTTCAGTCCAGGCACTCACTGCTGTGATACAATCACTGTTCATGTTGCTGGAGAAGTTGCAAGTTCCTTCATCACAGCAGTTTTCGTTCAAGGAGGCCCACAAGCTGTAAGGCAGGAGAGAAGGAGGTGGAGTGTCAGGTAGAGGGAAGCTTATTCATTTTTATTCAATCATTAAATTTGTATACCACCCTTCACTCAAAGATCACAGGGCGGTTCACAACTTAGAAGCACAAAGTGTGTGTGCATGCACACACACCGGCTCCCCTGCCCAACAAAGGAGAACAGGTAGTTCAAACAACATTGACAGATATCTGTCCTGTGTTCCCTGGAGATGTCAACAACCTCCCTGACTATTCTGCCTACAGTTTGTGCAAGTTAAGCTTCTCTTTCTGTCCTCTCTTCAGTGGAAATAATTGCTAATTTTATTCACTGATGGAAGGACAGGAAACAACGGCTTCCCCTTATTTAGCACACCTTTGACTCACTTGCCATCCAACCGCCTTGCTTGCCAGTTCCTTGTTTCTGATGTACTTGGTGATACATGATAAGGGCAAGGCACTTTACTACAGTCTCCACTCTCCTTTTTTGCTTCTGATTTGATCTGGCAAATGGAGAAGGCGAGGACCATTGTGAACTTGGAGCTACCAGTTGTTGACTTGTATGGCGGGAGATTTACCTGTGGCCACTTGCTGACCCAACTCCCCTTGTTCTCTTCTGTACTCACTCATCTCCAAACACTCCATGGTAGTAGGCAAATTCCATCAGTGTCTCGTCATTGAGGAAATAGCTCAGCATGCCATTGCCAACCCCAAATCCCTGAGGAATCAGAAAACAAAATATCATGCCAAGAAAGGAGGAGTTGTATGAAACTGGATGATGGGATAGTTAGTTTAAAGGCTATAATTAGAACCAGGCCTGATGCCAGGTTTGAAGATGGCAGGCAGAGGAACTGTAGTGACCAGTGCCTCTTGAGCACAAGTGGATGTGGGGCAATGGCACCAGACATTCAGAGGCAGCTATCAAGCAAGGCCTTCAAAGTGAATCCACCCCCCCCCACTTCCAGGCATGTCCTTTCCATGTGGCCTGGTTTAGATGTGAGAGGAGTGAGGCCTTCAGGGCTTGTTTTCATCAAGGCAAAATCTGCATTAGTGGCTGCTGCTTGTGGGTTGGCAGTGCTCACTCATTGCCCCTAAATATGCCATTTGGCCTACATGGAAGATCTTAGCTCTCCTGGTTTTCCAGTGACTCTGCTTCCTGTACCGCGATTGTGTTTACCTTCAGGTTAATGCCTGCTGATCCTTCCGCAATCTTGGCAGTGAGAGTGGGGACATAGATTCCACCATAACTTTCCCCAAAAACATAAAATTCGTTGTTTGCAAAGTCTGGGAATTTAGCAAAGAAACTCTGGAGAGCCTGGTAGTTGTCCTCAGCTACCTGAAGTAGGGAGAAATTTTGACCCCACCACTTAGCTTTGGTGCAAATCATAGGACAGAGTTTGATGTGCATATCATGTGCGGCTGCATTAAGAAACACACTCCTGGCATTATCTTCCCCCACCCCACCCCTCTGCTCCTCATCCATCAGGAGTATATGACAGAAGTCTTGATTTGGCTCAATGAACATCCAAATAAAGACTTCTCCTACCTGTCAGGCAAATGGATTCTGTCCCAACAATACTTACAAACTTTGTGATCTGATCTCTCACAGCCCAGGCAGCTGTGTAGGAAGTCTATATTGCCTCTGGATAGAACCATGCCATACATTTAAGGCACAGCCAATGCACATTTACAACACATGGCTCCCCCAAAGAATGCTGATAATTGTAGTTTCTTCCTCAAAGAGCTGCAGTTCCCAGTGCCCTTAGCAAACTACAATTCCCAGGATTCTTTAGGGGAATGATTTAAATGTGCACTGGCTGTGTTTTAAATCCATGACTGAGGTCTAGCTCAGAGGGCCTTCTGGCAGTTCCCTCATTTTGAAAAAGTGAAGTTACAGGGAGCCAGGCAGAGAGCCTTTTTGGTAGTGGCGCCCACCCAGTGGAACACTCTCCCATCCAATGTCAAAGATATAAACAATTATATGACTTTCTGTAGACATCTGAAGCCAGCCCTGTATTGGGAAGTTTTTAATGTCTGATGTATCGTGTGTTCTTTCATACTCTGTTGGAAGCTGCCCAGAGTGACTGGGGCAACCCAGTCAGTTGGGTGGAGTACAAATTAATTATGATGATGATGTATGGTGTGGTTCTGCCCTATATTACTGCCACAGGACTGACAACCTTCCCCCATCAGCTGCTACAATCACCATTCCATCTATTGTCCCACCCACCACTGGCATGTGATACGCCTCGCCCCCGGTTTGTTTACTAGAGAATGCGGCCCTTAGGCCAGGAATGAACAGCAAGTGACCTACCTGGCTGTCATTGATAGGGCTGTCTTCTGTGGCATAGGAATAGCCAACTCCAGCTGGAGATTCCATGTAAAGCACGTTGGCTACCTTGTTCCAGCTGTTGGGGTTCAGGTAGAGTGTTGCATCGTCATTCAGCTACACAAAACCACGAGGCAGACAAAGAGGGTTACTTTGGGGGTGTGAGGTATTTGCAGCATGCTGTTCACTAAATTTTCCATATCAATTGCCTCCAAGCACAGTCTCAGATTCACAGTCCTTGAGAAATCAGGCATCTGTGAGTTGGTCTGGGCATTATTGCAGGATTGCCATACATCCAGATTCTCCCGGACACATACAGAATACTGCAGTCAGCAGCAGCGTCCAGGCGGAAATCGGGCAAATGTCCGAGAAAATCCCCAAAAGCTCAACAACTTTGGGCAAAACTAAAACAACATAGAGCCCCTTTGCACCTGGCTCTGGTGATCTCATAGTAAGCAAATAATGTTGCCTCTGCGCCTGTATAGAGCACCTTTCCCTCCTGACAGAATGATCCCAGGCAGCCTCCAAAACTTTGAGATGAGATCAAGAGCTTCAGGCCCAGTTGAGCCCCAACTGCCTGATCCACAACCCCTTCCTTGTCCCATGTTTCTCTCCTTTCCCATCAGCATACAGAGCGGCCACAGACTCACATGGAAAGGTCCATTCTCAGCCAGGAGGCCTTCCATAGAACTACAGCCAGGTCCCCCATTTAGCCAGAGCACCACGGGGTCAGTTGCTGGGTTGCCCTGAGACTCCACAAACCTGTCAGGATAGAAAGGGAGAGAGCAAACACCCTGATGGATATGTTTAGAGGAGGCCCAAAGAATGGAGACCCGAGGAAGATACCTGATGCAGTAGCAGACTTTGGGCTCTCAAATTTCAGCGGCGCCCTGTGTAACGCTAATATTTGGTGCAACCTCGCCTCTTATGCTTTGTTCTACAGCATTGTTTTGGTGAACCCTGCAGTGTGGCACCCAGTGTGACTGCTCTGGTTGTGCCAACCTAAAACTGTCTTTGCCTGATGTTGCAGCAGTCCTATAGCTAAGCATGCCTGTGCTGAGTGAGAGGCTGCATTGGGAACATGGAAGGAAGAACAGGGGCATCATCATTGGGGGTGTAAATAAATGTGGTGTTAGCTGGTGGGACTAGTGGGGCAGAAGGGAGAGAGACTAATAGTAGGCAGAGAGAGGTGGAGCCACAGCCAGCAACAGGGAGAGCCAGAAAATTTTGTCCCAAGTGAGTTCTACAAGATCAACCCTGCGACTGAGGAAGAGGAAGGTGGCAAGCAGGGCCACTCCCTGGGCCCGTTGTAAATCATAAGGCAGGCAGTTGTGACATGGCTAAGGTTGGTGGGGCTGTGCCGCATTTACGCTAGTGAACCAGCCCCCACTGAATCAACCTTTTCCTCCATGCAGCTACCCTATGGGCAGGAATCCAGGAGAGAGGCAGGCAAGGAACTACAACATACAACATGGCAGCCTGCTCCTACTGGACCTGCCTCCCTCCTGCCCCCACCCCAGCCCCTCTGCAGGGCCATGGATCACCACCAGAAATGAAACAGCTTCTGTTTTCATAATGGTCTTATTGTTATTGCACTTTGACTTTATTTGTAAGCTGCCTTGGGGGGAATTTGTGCCTGTAAAGGGAAGACACAAATTACTATAATCCATCAATCAAACTAATGTTACAAGCAACCAACTTATTCTTAGGCTGCTCCACACAGCTAGTTCCAGGGCAGTAGAGAAGCATAAACGTTTCTGTAAGCTGCAGCTCATCCAGAACATCTTGGCAAAGGCAATTTCAACAAACGGTTAGCAAGAGCATAAGGACATCAGAAGAGCCTGCTGGATCACACCCAAGGGGGCCCATCTAGTCCAGCACCCTGCTCTCACAGCGGCCAACCCAAGGGAAACCTGCAGGCAAGACCCAAACACAAGAGTGCTCTGCCCTCCTGCACATTCCACCAACTGGCATTCAGAAGTGTTGCTGCTGCTGCCAATGGTGGAAGTCCATGAAGCAGCTGTTGCCTGGATGTTAGCAATGTGTCTAGCCAGGATTAGCTTTTTAGCTCTTAATTAATGAGCAATTGGAAGCATGCATTAGGTCGGCCAGCACATACCCAAAAGCAACGATCAGTTCAATGAAGAGGAGACATGAATATTAACTCAAACTCTCTCTGTCTCTCGGCTTACCAGTAATGGAAGTATTGGCCAGATCCTGCCTGGAGATAGCCGGACCATTGCTGGAAGGTTGGCATCTCAGACAGTCCTGGCAGGGAAGTGATGAGATCTGGAGAAGCATCTGTCCCTGAGCAGAGACCAAAGGAGGCACTGAAGACGGCGCACAACCTGAACAAGAGGTGCATGGTGCTGTTTTGGGACAGGCTGCCATAGAGTGGTGGAGTTGCAGGGCACCTTATATCATGCTCGGCCTGTGTACTCTGATAACAAGCCAACAGCATAATCTTGTTTCTTGATTACTAGAAATAATGGGAAGGTGGGCAGCGTGGCTCAATGTACCAGCAAAACACAAGCCAGGCTTCTTTGGAAGGAAATGTCACCTTGAAATGTCACCTTCACCTTGTTTAGCCTAACAAGACTTCAGATTAGATTGTCCAATTTGGCTAAGTTTCTGGCTTCAAGGTAAATTTTCCAAGCGTTAGTACTGATACGGTTAAGTGACACTTCCTTAATGGAATCTCTCAAAATCCGAGAAGCAGAAATATCTAGGCATAGGCCCGGACTTAGGTTTGATGAGGCGCTAAGCTACTGAAGATAATGGGGTCCTTTATTTGTGATATTTTAGGAAGCAGGCTAGCAGGCGGGGCCCATTACTTACAGCATAGGAGCCTACATAACACAAAACAGTGTTGCTGTATGTAGGTTTTATTTTATTTTTTTAATCTTATATTTTGGAAATGTACATCCAGTTTTTTCCCCTTTAATTCCCCCCCCCCAGAGAATGGGGCCCTAAGCTATAGCTTGTTTAGCTTATATGTAAATCCGGCACTGTCTAGGCATCAATATCTCTGAAAACACAAAATCTGATAATCGTTATATCACATTTTCCAGGACATCCAAACTTCAAAACCTCTACTTTATTATGGCTTGATAGAATAGTGGCTGCTAAAAATCCTTGGATTAACTCTTTTTCAAACCTAGGTCTCCCAGACATTTGAAAAAAAAAAAAGGATAACCAACTAAGGATAACAAACTATTTCATTTGGACAGGTAAGAGAAGCTTAGATGTAGAAATAATACAGTATTGTAAGCTGTTGCTCAGTGACAAAAAAACAGGACAGTGATGTATGAATCCCCCAATTTGAAACTTTTATTTGATGAAGTGTATCAACAACCACTGCTGATTCACTTACAGAAAGACTCGAATCTGTACTGGATCCATAGGGATAGACTGAATTATAGAATAGTGAATTACCTCTGGTTCTAGTAGCCTTAAAAACCAGCACGTAATTCAGAAATGGTAATTAGCCACTTAAAAGCTGGTCCAGCGCCTCCATTATGTCAGTGCTGCTCTATTCCAACTTCCCAACTATCTTAGCTAAAACCTGATGCATCACCTGGAAAAGTAAGGGTACAAGACACTTGGGTGATCTCATCTGGTGGAAGTTGGTATATTGGATCTCTAGCAGACTTAAGTAACAAGTTTGAAAAATTAGGTGGTTTTATTCATAACCCAGCTGAATTTCACTTCTCCATCAGGAGTCAAGCTTTTCCAAAATATAAGGTACCCTTTCAGTTACATGGAACACATCACCTAAGATTGGCTTCTGACTGTATGAAGAGACCGCATTGAACAGTGTGGTCTTTGTGGTGGCCCAGGCTGATCTCCCTGGTAGATATGCATTGGCTCAATCCCACATGCTAACCATCTCCTAAGTGTGTCTGTGTGGGCCAGCTGACAGGCTGGGTCCAGAGTTTCTAAAGTGCAAAACATATCTTCTCAAAGTCATGGAAACTTGCCCTCCTGGCCTGAAATGCCCTCTTCTATTGATGTGGTGGATGCTGCGGACTGTGGCTGCCTTCTCCAGTCTGTTTCATCCAGCTGTGCCGGAAATATTTATATTTGAGGGTGGACTAGAAGTTCTGGATGCCTGGAATCATGGTGTGCAAGCTTGAGATGGGCTGAAGACCAGCAGTCTGGTCCCCCCTCTCAGTAAGATGTTGCCCAGGCTGAGAGCTTAAATTTAGTCAGGAGTGCCAGGCTGGCTTGCCTGATGCCACCAGTCTGCCCAAGCCAGACAAATGATGGGCTATGGCACAAACACCCCACTTGGAAGGAACCATCTGTAATTCACTCCTCTGAGAACCCACTTCCTTGAGGTGTCAATGGTGGATTCACAAATTTACCCATTCAAGCCTGGCAGCTGCTGGAAGGCACACAGATGAGGTTGCCCCTTATTGAACACAAGGTAGGTGCTTTGGGGTGACATCTGGTTTTCTACTCAGTCATATTCATTTCTCTCCAAATCCATCAATTTGGGAAAGTGAATGCCATCTATCAAGTTATCTGATCCTTTGAGGGTCTTTGTGTACCTCTCAATCCCTTCAAGGAAGTTCATCTAGATGAAACTGAGGAACCCCTCATGACCCACAGAGTTCTATGCAGAAGTGAGACTCAGCAACGCCTGCTCTTAATCAGCCCCACTTTTCACCTTTGGAATTTCCCCCCTCAGTGTGAGGTGGAACAAATAATAAAATACAGTAAGATAAAAATAGCAGTGACCCACACAAGCTCTAAGTAGGTTTTTCAAGGTTGCTGCCTCCTTTTTTCCAGGCAAAATATTTTCTGTTGACTCAGCACATTTCCTGCCCTTGTGAAAGCTTGTTGCCAGTGCAGTTTGAGGCCAAGCAGATCCTTCTTAGACACCAAAAACAAGTGACACAAGTGAGGAATACAGCTGTGGTGAGAGACAGGAGGTTTCTTGATGCAAATTATACAAATCTCACCACAGTGCATTTAAAGGACAGGGTCCTTTGTGGGAGGAGGATATAAAATATATAAAAATACGAGATGGGGAAGCTGTCGTACCCCTACACACTCAAAGCAATTCACAAAAACTATTCCATGCACACCTCCAAACAAAGATGACTCTGTTGGCTCAAACTATGCACATGGCACTAAAGTCATATACATAATAATGTTTATTTATCTGGGGCGTGGCAGCTCAATGGTATCCCCAATCTAGACATTGATAAGAAATCACCAGGAACAACTTAAAATCTAGGATGCAAGAAGAGAAAATTTCCCGAGTCAGCTTATGTCTACACCACTGTAGTTGACACTGGCTGAGGACTTGCGATCCAAAACATCTGGAGGGCACCTGGCTGCGGAGCCTGAGAGGCCTGCTCCAGCTCTCGCATTTTAGTAGCATTTCTGCTGGTGACTTTGACTGGTTTTATTTTTCTTTGTACTGACTTTCTAAACAGTGGTTCTTGAGATCATGACCCACAGAGTTCTATGCAGAAAGGCGGAACATAAAAACAGATATGAAATTAAAGGGCCTGCAGCAAAGGGTCTGGTTACGTATAGGAATATGTTATGGAAACATTAATCAAATGCAATGTGTTACATAAAGATTAGATAAACAGAACCTGAAAGGCAATGTTACCCTGCATGGATGGCCCACACCAGTTTCCCTAGAGCTGCCACTAGAAGCTGTCTTCTCTCTGTCTCCTCTTTCCAGATCTTGGAGAGGGACAAAACTATTTTGCTCCAACTATGCTGCATCACTCAATGAGCGAAAGAGAAGCTGGGAGGGGTTGCTCAATAGCTGGCAGTTTGGCAAAGAGATGGTTCCTGCAAAGAAGAAGGTGAAGGTGGGTAAGGGAGTTTTGGGCTTCTCTGTCCCGCTGCAGGAGAACCAAGCTATGAAGCCACCTAGAACTGGATCTGCATTAATGGACAGGAATCAAAGCACAAGCAACCCAGAAGTTGGAATTTTCCTTTTTAATTCTTATTTCCATGGTGACATTGTCCCATTAAAACCCAAACTTCACCACCACCACCCACCCTGGCATACAAGATTTGAAATGGGGGCTGGGAGGGTGTGTTGTACCTCCTCCCCCACAAAAAAATCTTCAAAATTAGTGTATAATTGACATTGAGAGAGAGCCTGGACTTTAGCCCCATCTAAAGGGCTAAAAATCTGCTTTGTAAACATCAGAACATGCTACAAAATGCCACATTGGAACCAACAGATACGAATGGGATCCTGCAACAGAAGGTGTGGCCCTGAGATGTTGCTGTACTAACAGAGCTCCCATCATCATCCCTGACACTTGGGCCTGGCTGGTTGCACAGGCCGATGAGAGCATCTGGGGGGCGGCTACAGGTTCCCCACACATGGCAAACCTGTGATACAGCCCCAGAATCTGGCATCAACTGAATCAAATGAAAACATAAAAGGAAATAGGTCTCTGACAACTGAGAACCAAATGAATACTGTGGGTTAAAACATGATTGGATGGAGCAGAGACACCGCCCAGCAAAGGAATAGAGTTTGTTCATGTGGCATCTGAATCTGGTGAATCTCACCAGAAAGGAGGGGAAGGAAGTAGTCAGGTGACAGGAAGGAAGGACCTGTGTGAATTTGATGCCAAGGAAATGCCCTCAAATGTAGTCAAATATTCCCTTTTCCAATGTATGTGTATCTAAAACTCAAGGATCTTTTCCCTCAGTTTTCATTTTCAAATATAAAAAGTAAAAGGATAGCAACAATATAAAAACAAATAACTTCCACAATAAGCACCAAGTCCACAGGCCAGCCTTTACCAACAGGGTGCCTACCAAATGTTTCAGAGGGAAACTCCGGTCAGTCCAGACATCATACGGCCGTACTAGCTGGGGCTAATGGGAGTTGTCATCCAAACCAGTCACCAGGCTGGAGAAGGCTGCCTTAAAGTAATTAAGCTGTAGTTCACACTGTGCAGTCATGTCATTATCAACCACATGACCTTTGCTACATCACTGGTCATGATACAAAGATGAGCCCCCCAGGGCACATAAATTTAGAGCAGAAGTTGTGTAGTGAATGGCCTGGGTCCTCTTACACAAGTGTGTGGAAGGCAAGGGCAAAAGGAGAGTCCTTTTTGAGAGCGATGTCCCAAAAGGCAAAGAGGAATTCAGTTTGTGTTCAGAGTCTGAAGCTGCATGCACAGCAAGTGGCCCTGCGGGGACTTGACTGATCTATCAAGAATTAAATGGGAAAGAAAATGGAAATCAAAGTCTCGGAAGAGGCTCCCAGCAAAACAAAACAGGAGTAGCACAATCACTGGGGGAGAGTGGAGGGAACGGCCGCCTCCTGCTGACACGAGACATCCCCAAATATTGGAATTCAAGAATCCAGAGGAGGAAAGGTACCCTCCGAGGGCAGTTGTAGGGATCACTTCTTGAGATCCATAAAGATAGCGTTGGTAGTTGTCTGTCCAAAGATAAATGCGCCAAGGATAACCATGAAGACGCCGTAGCTCACCATCGCCCACCAGCTATGGATAAAAGAGGGGAGACTGGCATGAAGCACACATGATTCCATAACCACTGACCCCACATGGATGAACTGGGCAAGAGGAGGCAGCAAAGAAGAAGCACAGCTCTTACCCGGCTGGTCTGGCCTCTTGTATTTCGGAGAGCTTGGTGTGGATGAGGCAGAGTCCTGGCAAGGAAGGAGCGGAGGAAAACGGTGAAGCGAAAAAGCAGCAGAAGGAACCACCAAGGCATTTTTTTTGCAGCCATCTAGATCTCAGAACGATGAACAGTTCTAACAAAGCCAGTGTTACATTCAACTGTTTTGAGCAATATCAGGTTCTTGTTGGTGTGCAAAGGAAGTATGTCTTGAAAGCTCTAGTGAAAGAAGATCCACCGCTGAGGTGGCTGCAGAAAAGTCACTGTGCAGAAGAAAGTTGGTTGTGTGGGCTAACAATAAATTGCTAATTTATCCAAAGGAAGTGGGTGTGGGAAGGGTGGCAACTCAGGCTGAACTTATAGAGAAAGAGAATTCTGGCTAGGGGAATATTCTGGCCTGTCCAGAGCAGGTACCCATGAGGTGAGGTGAGCCAGGCTGGTAGTAAAGACCACCAAATAAAGTTCCAAGGGAGCCATCTGCTCTGCTAAAAGCAGAAGTGAACTGAGGTCTTCTGAGTCCCTCTGTCCTGTTTCCCCCTCCTAAGCGAGACTCCCCAGCGTGAGGGCAAGTGCTTCTCTGCCTCTCTGTAGCCTTCTGCCTGAAAGGCTCCCCCTGCCATTGAGCAGGGACCCTGGAGTGGGGGCACCTTGATTCCTCAGGCAAATCAAGCTGGGGGAGGCACCTCCATGGGTCCCTGCTCACAGCCCCAGGTTCAGATCCCCCACCAAAAGCAGAATAAGAGCCCCCCTGTTACACACAGCCAGGGAAAACTACCTGGGAAAACAAAGATGAAGCAGGCAGCCAGGCCCCCAATGAGAGAGATGACTTTGCCAATGTCAGGAATGAACAAGGCCAGGAGGAGGGTGAGGAGGAACCAGCTGACCGTCTGCAAGAGGCGCCGCCTCCTCTCCCGCACGACATCTTCTTCAACCGCCTCCCCCTTGTAGCGCAGCCAGAGGCCTTCCAGGACAGCCCTGGGCAGGAAGCCAAGACAAAAGGAGGAGTTAGGGGTTTCCCTCTGCCACTGCAACACCCCCTGCAAGGACTGCACAGAAGCAGGTGAGGCTCACACCAGCCAGCTCCACCAACCCCTCCCGCTCCACACTCACCGGCCACAGAAATGTAGGATTGGGTAGGAAGTGAGAACGCAGACGATGATGGAAACCCGGGCAATGGCGACTGGGATGTCGTTGGAGGGGTAGGACATGAGCACATCCGGCTCCACACTGGACCCAAACGTCAAGTATCCACAGACTCCTGGCAGGAAACAGGAGGAAGAGGAAGAGAAGAAGATGAAGAAGAAAGAAGGTGGTTCACAATGACCCAGAGCCAACCACCAGCCACTTCTCATCCCATGAGGGAAAAGGGTTAGGAATCAGTCTCCTTTTTGCAGCTCAGAAGAGGCGATTGAACACTTCCTCTTTTTCATCCCGCCTACCTGTGCCCGTGTAGACAAAAAGAGCAATGACCATGGCTGCTGTCACAACGGCCCCCCATGGCTTCACCTCTGGTTGCTTCATGCTGTGGAAAACGGGCACGCTACTGACATGGCACTGCCAGGGAGAAGAGGAATAGGAAAGGGTTTTTAGGTGTGGAAGAGGAGAATGCAAGTTTTCTGATCGCGCAGAAGTCACCAGCCTTTGTGATTACTTGCACAGGAGATCCCTCTCCCAGACTTGTTCTTTGGGCTAGTACAGTTTTTCCACACATACGTTTTCACAGCTGGAGACCAAAGAGCCAGTCAACAAATTCAGCAAAAAGTAGCCTTCACCAACCTGGTGGCATGAACATCTGGAGGGAGGATGCTATAACAGGGCCTCTGATTTTCCCTTAAGACTGTTGAAGAATAAGAACCACCTCTGCCTCATTCCAGGACCCAAGTAACTTACATTATCCCTTTTTAAATGCTTTCTGAACCAAATTCCATCTTAACTTTTCCTAGGACAGCTGTATTATTATTCTACAGTAATCCATTTCCCCTTATCCCTCATCTGTCAAAAGTAGGGAGTGCAAGCTCCATATGAACACGTCAAAAGCTTTTGTCTGTGTGTTCACACCTTATTCAACCTTTCTTGCAAGAGGTTGAGACTAGTGTACTTAGGATATCACATCCTACTTATAAAAAACGGACAGAAAAAGACAAGGCTACATACCATAAATACCATACAAAAGAAAACACTACAATTTCATCTAAGATAAAAATGAATTAAACTTGAAACAAAGGTCAGGGTTTAGATTGATTATTTTGTCTCTCTCCCCATCCCATTGCACCCCCGTGTCTCCAAATAGAGCTGAGAAAGACCCCTGAATGAAACCCCAGAGAGACCCTGCCAGTCTGGAGGGCACCAAGCTAGCATAGAAAACATTGAGTTGGGTGGTTCACTGTGCTTTTACTTGGTACAATTATTATTACTAATTGAATTTGTATGCTGTGCTTCGTCTGATCACAGGGCAGCTCACAAAATAAAAATACAAAATGAGAACACAAAATATATACTAAAACAAATACCAATAGCTGCTCCCTCCCCCCCAACACACTTAAAAGACCATAGAATGTTTAATCAGCCAAAGGCCTGGTTACAGAGGCACAGAGAGAGGTGGACTTTCTTGCCCTAAATGTGCCCACACCCACCTGGGGCCTTCAGACAAGCCTCACCTGGAAGCCAAAGCAAATGGTGGGCATGGCATTGAAGACAGACATCCAAGAGGAGGGGCTGCGGAGAGGAACGCACACGTTAGTTCAGGGTGTGTTTCAGCAAATGTCTACCATCAGCATTTACTCAGAATTGAAAAATCCCCTCCCCTGAGGGGAGTAACGTGTCAAGAATTGATTGGCAGGATCTAGTTTTAACTCAGTCAAAATTAATGCAGGAGAGGCACTTCCAAGGAAATCAATCTATCTTAAGATGCACACCTCTATTTTCACAAGGATGAAGTCAGGTTACAATTTTCTATACAGACAATACCTAAACTGGAACCCTTCCACTCGCGAACGCAGCCTTTCTAAATCTGATGTCCTCCAGATGTTTTGGACTACAACTCCCATTAGCCCTAGCCAGCCCAGCCCCTGAAATCCAAACATGGAAGGCATCGGGTTGGGAAAGGATGGGTTAATGCATCCTCCTTCCCCCTACAGTGAGAATTACCCTCTTCCTTTCAGGTGTCCCCCACTGACTCATAGTTGAAAGTTGTCAAGTCCTGAGCAGGGGAGAACTGGATGGGTCCCCAGCATAAGGATGGCCAAAGGTCAGAGGAATGGGATGTGCCTCTCAGCAGCTTAAAGAGTGGGCAGATACAGTGCCCACCACAGAAATAAAAAGCTTTTTTACATTGATAGTTAAAAACTAACTGGAGACTCTCGATTGGGTAGTCTAGTAATTAAATGGTCAGGTCTCTCCACTGCAGAAAACAAAGACAGGAAGTGAGGCAACTCAAGAAGGCGCCACCTCTTTCTGAAGGAGCATCACTCCCACATACCTCATTGTAATTTCCTCTGGGATGTTCTCATCAGGCCAAATATATTTGATGATTATGATGGCTGTGACATACCAGGTCCCGACAACACTCAAGCAGCTGTGAGAAAGAGAGAGAGTGGGACAGGTGATGGAGCTGCAGCTGCTATCTCCTTCCAAGGATCATCTTGAGATGCCAACACCCACCTTTTGCATCTAGACCTGCCCTTGACAGAGCAGTTCAATGGCACCTAGTCTTTCACTCAAGCAACACATCCTGGCAAGCAATACAGGCACGGCCTGTTTGCCACCCTCACACTTTCATCTCATGAGGACCCTGGTTGGCAGCAGTGGCTGAGGAGCATTTGCCAAGATATGTGCCAGCTGAGAACTGGCCTGTGCTTACCTGGCATATTTCTGGAAGCCAATCTCCTTGGGCACTGAGAGGGGAAGGATGAGCAAGAAGGCTGTGATGCTGATGGTGAACTTGCGGTCTGTGTACCAGTGGCCGCTCTCTGCCCCTGTGGAGTCCTTCATTAATGCTGCAATTACTAGACAAAGAGAGACTGCAATCATCCTCTGGGCCCAATCCACCAGGCAGAGGGAAGTCAAAGCTCAAAGGCCAGTGCACAGCTACACACACACACAAAAAGACTCTCACAGAGACTTGAACTTCTTATGTCCAAGGAAACACAAAGCAATTGGCATGGAACTAAGGGGAAATTTTGTGTTATAGAAAGGTGTACAGAACACCAGAACCCAGGCAAGAGAAGCTCTGGATTTCTTGCGCTGGACTACACCAGTCGCCAGACATTGGGAGCTACGAGTCCTATCAGTCAAAGCCAGCATGGCAAATGGTCAGAGATGATGGAAGTTGAAGTTCAAACTATCTGGAGGGCACCAGGTTAGTGGTAGCTCCCTGTGACCCTGTGATTCATGACGCTATGAAGGCAATGCTGGCAGAAACCCTTTTCATCACTCAGCAGACACCGCCAGCAAGAGGCATGCCTAGGAGTCAGCACAGCCCTCCCTGCTCCCCAGCAAGGGTAGCCTAATTCAAGAGCACAATTACTGAGACAGGGGAGCTGAGCGCCTTTTGCTATGTGCAAGCCCCACCCCCCAAGTAGTCAGTGGCACACTTGCCAAGAAACTCACAGGCAGGAGGCTGAACAGGCAGCTGGTGCCCAACCTATTCAATGTATCTGTGTGGCAGTCTAGTGTGAATGTGGTGGGTATTAGCCACAAAGTTCAGTTGGTGGCCTGGGTGCAAGCCATCCTCCCTCAGCCTTGCTCACCACACAGAGCGGTTGTGAGGGCAAAATGCTGTAACTTAAAGTATTCTGTATACTGCAAAACAGCATAGGCAGTTATTCTATATAGCCCCCCAGGCTGTAATTCCTCTGAAGGCTACAGAGTATGCCCTCTACAAAGGAAACAGGACCTCCTCTTGTGGCATAATTCTGTGAGTTTTCTAGTGTGGAAAGAACCTTTAGCTGTCCACATGTTACTGAACTACAACTCTTTATCATCACCCCTGACCATTGGCTACAGGGGCTGGTGGGAGTTGGAGTTCAGCAACATCTGGAGAGCCACAGGTTCCCACACCTGACCTACAGAAAAAGTAAATCAGGAGCTGCAGCCATGGTGGATGAAGCCAGAGCCAAAAACAGGCAGTTGGAAGCTCTAGGTTGTACAGCTCTTGTTCTCTCTGCAAGCTGCACAAAACAAAGGAGGGAGCGCAGCTTCAAGCCTCTCACAGTACCAAAAACAGAAGGCCGAGTACATGTCAAACCCCAATGGAGCTCAATCAAACCTTGTCTTCCCAATAAGATTTCAAAATGAAATTAATTTTGACGAAGAGGGAAGGGCACAAAAGCCCAAACAGGCCTCCTCCTTTCCCAGCAGTACTCACTCTTGTCCTGCTGATCTCCAATGATGATGAGGAAGGCAATGCAGGTGCCAAAGGTGTAGACAGCAATGGCCACTTCGCACAGGATCCCGGTGACTTTGCCACACACGGCCCACACTACCTCCTGGTAGGTACGCTCATTGCTAGCCTGGGAGCAGTAGGCCAGGATGACCAGGCCACCAATGATGAAAACCAGCATGCACTGCAGCAGAAAAGGGAAGAGTGGCACCATGAGATGGGTGGCAGGCACCAGCAGGCAAACTGAAAACAATAAAAAGCTCTGGGCAAAATTTTTTTACTCATTTCCTGTCTTGCTTTCCTGCTCTCTCCTGCTCCATACATATTTTAATTTGTTTTAGCTTTCCAACCTGCTGCCAACCTGGCTTTCCAGCCAGCACTGGTGTTATGATGCTAGGGCTGATGTGAGATGCAGTCCAAAACATCTGGAGGGCACCTACTTGGGGAAGGCTACATTGTCCCCATGGCAATATTTTGGACATTCTATAGCTGCAAGTTTATTTTTAAAAATACTTTTAAGAGCCTAAGAACCACCTGCTGGATCAGGTCAAGGGGAGCCCATTAGGTCCAGCATCTTGTTCTCACCTGCAAGTAGAACCCAAGCACAAGAGCACTCTCCCCACCTGTGACTTCCAGATTTAGAAGCATTACTCCCGTCAACAGTGGAGGCAGAGCATAGCTATTGTTCCTTGCAGCCACTGAAAGCCTTCTCTGTGAATTTGCCCAGTTCTCTTTCAAAGCCATCCAAGTTGGTGACCGTCACAAGACCTTCACAGCCGCCCACATCAAGCTGTGCTCCAGCCAGGCCAAATGAGAGAGAGCACCAGCACACTCTGCACATTCCCAAATGGATCCCTTCCCACCGCCCACACAGTTTTCCTCATCCCCACACCCTCCCTGCTTTCACCATCTGCAGCGTGATTCCTGCAGCCACTCCGCCTGCCATGCTGAAGGCTGCTGGGAAGTTCAGGAGGCCGGCACCCAGAGCCGCGTTCACAACAATGAAGACAGCTCCCAGCTTTGAGGTTGCAGCAGGTCCACACTCTTCGTTGCCCTTGGGCCCCGTCTCCACATTGGGGCTCTGTAGCAGCCGGGCCCTCTCGCCGGCATCCGCACTCCATTCCCAGTCACCATATTCGGTGTTGATTCCCAAGTGGCCTTCAGACATCTCCTCCTCTGGAAAGGGCCACTCAGTGGCAGGCTAATCTGTATCCAATGAACCGCACTTTGCATCCCCCCAGCCTCCGAGAAGCACCAAGCGTTATCCCGACAGGCATGGATGTGTGGCATATAGAAGAGACATGCCTGAGCTCAGAATAATGTCACAAGCAGGGCTGCTCGCAGTTTGGTGGGTCATATGGCCCTAGAAGAAACCAAAGGAAAGAGTCAGCTCTGAGCAGATAGAGAGGAAATACAGACTCCTGCTCACAGAAAACCTCAAAACCCATGCAGGAGGGGAACATTAAAAAACTCGTTTCTGGGCCTTGTGATTTTTAAAGGATGCAGCAACTGCTAAGAGCTCAGAATCCAAAGTGGAGACCCAGGAAGCTATTCCCGCTCAGTACCATCTTCACAAAGATTCAAAATTTGGCCCTAGCATACCTGTGGCCCAGCTCCCAAGGCACCAAGCTCCAAGTGCTCAGCACCCAAATATTCCTTTGCAATGGCTAAAACAAGAAAAACTGAAGAGGTCTTCCATTGCTGCTTTTCCTCTTTTGTGGGCTGCTAGAGAAACCAGCTGCATAAGCACTTCCCTCTACAACTCAGCAAAAAAGCTGTTTTGCTCATGCTGGGCAAAGTTTAGAATTGGATTTCTGGGCAAAAAACACAGGGTGGAGCTGAAAGATTTCTCAACTGGTGAAAAAATCAGTTTTGCTCCTCCCAAGCCCCATAATTTCTATTGCATATCCACTGTTGCGGTAAAACCATTAAAAAAAATTATTTGCTTACATCACCTAGTTTAGTCCTCAACTCCTCAATCAGCCATACAGAAGCGTGTGTTTTTTTTGGTAATCAGCAAGGGGAATTAAAATCTCTGAGGAGCAGGAGTGAGTAATTTGTTCTGTTTAAATTTAACCCCCCCCTTCCCCCCAAGATTAACAAACTAGTGTAGGTTTCAGAAAAATCTTCCATCATTATACAACATTCTAGATAAGATTCACAATTAAAGAAATCCAAGTGACTTGGATATTGATAATTATTTAATCACCCCACTTCAAAAAATTTTAAAATTAAGTGATATTTTTTTCTAAAAAGCATATTTTTAAAAAAATTACATAACAAAAACAAGGAGTGGTTGCAATGGGATGCTACAAATAAATAAATGGTAGGATCTTCACCCATTTCTCTACAACCTGTAGCAGTTATTCTGGCTGATTCTTTAAGATTCGAACTATGATTTTTGAATATGTTTCTGTAGCCAATTCCACATTTCCTTTGAAGCATTTGAAGCTCATCCAATTCTTCATCTGACTTTATGGTACTATATTGTAACCTCTCCTTCAGTTACTTCTCTCATACCTGGGTACTGTATAACACATTTTAATTTTCATTTCTTCACAGTAAGAAACTGTTTAGCAATCCTGTGAGGATTACCACAAACATTATTTTAATGAATTCATCCTCCTTTACCTCTCTTCCTCTCTGCCAGCAAGTTTTAAATGGAAAATTATGAGTGTCAGATGTTTCCTTCTATTATTTCTGGCAGATAACAGACACAAATCTGAGCAGAAAAGCTTCAGAGCCAGCACTGACAGGCCAGTGACTAGGCTTGGTGGGAGCCATGGATTCAAAATCTTACACGCCTAGGCATATGACAGAGAAACTCACTAGAAGAGAAAAATTATCCACAAAGCTCCCCCTAATGTGTTCACTTGTGAGTTACATTTTAGGCTCAACTTTCCTCCAAGGGATTCAAGGCAGCGTCCTCCCCTCCCCTCCATTTAATCCTCACAACAGCCCTGTAGGGCAGACAATGCTAAGAGATGACATCCGAGCCAAGGTCGCTCAGCGAGTTTCAGAGCGCAGAGAAGGCGCCTCTCCCTGACTCACCCACAGCAGGGAGAGGCGAAGGGCTAGACAGGCAGCCGGCAGGCCATTGTAAGCTGTGGGCTTAATGATCTCGGGGCTGGGAAGGAGACACCCCGCAACCCCTTTAGCTGCTCAGCCCATTCAAATCGTGGCTGGCCGGCTCGCTCCAGCGGGCCGGGTAGCCGCAGCTTCTACTCCAAAGTGAATGATGGAGGGGATCCCGCCCCCCGCGGCACCCCCATAGATGCGCTTGCCGCTACCGCAGCGCCGGCCCCTTCGTCTCCCTGGCAAGCTAGCTTTCTGCTTGCAAGGGAGGGCGCCTTCAGCCCGGGGTGGGGGCGAGAAAGGCTCGCCAGGAGCGGCCCTGCAGCCTCCTTGCCTGCCGCAACCCGCTTACCCACCTCCTTCCACACCGGCTGCTCAGCTGACGAGAATCACATGGCGGCGGCTGCAGCAGCGACGGCGCCCTCCCCTGTACGCGCGGCATGCTGGGAGTCGTAGTTCTTGAGGCCTAACCGCGCCCCCTCAGTGGCAAGAAACAGAACAGGCGGCCTTGGGCCGAGTCAGTCCACTATAGTCTCCGCTGACTCGCAGCAGCGGCTCTTCGGGGTTTCAGGAAGACAAAGTCCTGTCAGAATCAGGGCTAGAGATGTTGCGGGTTGAAGGTGGGAGCTTTGGGTAGCAAGGATAAGGAACCTGCGTGGTGGAGCCCTCCGGGTGTTGTTGACCGGCAACTCCCATCATCCCGCCACATGCTGGCTGTTGGGATTTGTAGGGCAGCGCCATCTAGAGGGCCAAAAGTCTCCCAGTCTGCTCTGGCAAAGTGGTTCCCAAACTCCGTCCCCCTCCATAATCCACTTGAAAATGGCCAAGGGTCTTATTGGCAGACCACTTCACGTCTTTCCTGCCTATTATAGTAATTGTAATGCGGTGTGTTTAGGTGTTGCAAATTTTTAAAACAGCATGGTGGGTTTTTTTTTGCTCCTTTTGTTTCTTATATTGCATTTTATCAAAATACAATTTGTTTTCCATTGAATTCAAATTGTAATGCTGTGTAAGAAATAAAGGAAGCAAAAAAAAAAAAACCCCAAAAAAACAACACAGAGGGAGGGATAATAATAATAATAATAGTTATTATCACTATTTTGATCCCAGCTGTAGCTTCCATTTGTGATGGGGAGGCTGAAGTGAAATCTGTAGTTGGATAAAGGAATAATGGCTCTCTCCTTCCCCAGAAAGTTCTGCTTCTGCCTTTCTCCACAAAGCCAAGTTCAGAAAGCTGCCCTTGTCCTCCGCTCACTCCACTTCTACTGGTATACAAAAAAAGGAAGCTTAGGCAGCTTTGGACAAATAGGCTAAGTCGCTCTAATTTTCCTATAGGCTTGTGAGAAAGGACAACTCAGAGTCTGACCCAGTACTGATAAGTAGGACAAGGTAGGTACTCTTGTCAAACTAATCCAATATGGTATTCAGATCTAGAAACATCTTATACAATGTAGGAATAAGAGGTGAAAATATAGCCACTATTAACATGAGAGCATGAACGTGCACTTGTTACTTCAGAATCTGCCTGGTGTAAAGACTGCCTAGCATCTCTTCATCACACTCTAGCATAGCCAAGAGAAGAGATCTGGTTTATGCAGAGCAGGAACAAGCCAAATATAATAGACCTCATTCCCCATTTACCAGGATACTACTGCTATGGGTAGAAGTGCTCACGTACCTCACCACCACTCCCCATAATAGCAGTAAGGTACACTCTTCCTCACACCAGGCTGACTCCATTGTGCCTCCACCAGGATCATTCTGAACAGGATGAAAGTGTCAGCGCAAGGCCCACCACACAGCCTTGGTTACTCATTGTCATGTTGCAACACAGAAAGGTGCTTTAACTGTGGAAACCTCACAGCCAGATTTCTGCAATGGGGTTGATCCAGAGGCTGCAGTTGGTATAATAGTTATTTTGTTGGATGTTGGGGCTGATCAGAGTTGAACTCTGAAAAGTGCTGGAGGGCACAGCAGGTTACAGAACGCTTGATTTAGAGTAGTGGGATGCAGGCCTGAGCAGAATTCATTATAAATAAAAGCCTCAGATCTGTAACGCTCAGATGTACAGCAGTTTTAATTTTTTAACAGAAGTGACTGGCTGCATAAAGGGCAACATGATTTATTACTGAACAGCAGAATATTCTCTAGTGAGAGGACGGAGCATTGGAGACAGTAATCAGAGAAGAAGAGGCCTAAAACCACAACACAGAAAAATGAGGACTATCCTCTAAATCAAATCTTTCAGTGTACAACAGCAGCATAAAGTGTGGGAGAATCAAAAGGAAGCTTTGGGAGTTGGGCTGCCTTGACTCTCCTGCCAAAACAAGCTGAAAAAGGAGGACCACAAAGGCTACTGACAGAAGGAAAATGCTGTTCTCTTCTCTGTGTCATGTGAGAATTACAGCAAAACCTGCAAGCTCTTTGCAAGAACAACTTTCTTTCTGGTGATCAACTGAACACAGCCTTTAGGAGAGCTCTGCTATTCATGCAGAATGAAACTCACAGCTAAGCACCCTAAACAGACTGGTTAAGGGCAGACAGGACAAGCACACATACCCCAATCAAGGGGAAAAGCAGCAGCAGGTGGTAGTATCTGAAAGCAACGGACAAACAGGTTCACTTCTACCCCCTAGCCTAGAGGCAGCTCCACATGTGTAGCTATGGACGCTGGATGCAAAGGCCTGAGGCTTTTTCATGCTGCGGCAACAGCTCTTCTTGACCTCTCAGTCCTTCTTCATTCAATATGCATGCTTTGACACTCAGCTAACGCAGAGATGGGGCTTAAGGCTTGGCCTCTGGGCAGGCACGAAAGCCTTAAGTTGTTCACACAACATAAAGGAGACTCACACAATGCATTAAATACTCAACTGCCTTTTCACAACAGGGGCGGTGGGTAGGCAGCAAGGTACATGTTTTGTAGCTCCAGACAATCAACTTCTGGCCACAGAAAGGGAGGCTGAACTGTTCATGGTATCTGCTGTTGTATAATTGCCAAAGCTGAAGAACTTATCTCTGTCACTCACACACACACACAGACAAGAGATCTGGAAACTTTCCCCATGGGTTTGACCTGCCCCCTTCTTTCCACTTTGCAGGGGGAGGGAGAAGAGTGAAGCAGTTCCATGAGAAAAATGCTTCACAGACAAAAATGTTTTCCATCGTAAGTTGTTTGAACACATTGAAGAGTTTATCTTGTCCTACTTACAGGCCTAGTGAGCTGTCATTCAATTGCAGTGGATCTCCTGGCTCAGGTGGTGGATATCCTGAGCACATGTGAGTGGCAAGAACAGAGAGGAAACTAAAAAGGGCCAAAGTTAAGTTGCACTTAAAGAGCAGTTACATTTCCTGGGTTGGGGTGGAGTGGGGGAAGCTATTCCAAATTAATAACTGAGCTTTAGTCCCATTTAAGGATTACAAAGGATTGAAAAGGATTACAAAGCATTGTGTGAGAAAGGATTTTGGAGAGAATGAGCAAGGGCCCAGCAGGGCTTCCCATGACCAAAAATTAAATGAAACACAGTTTAATTTATTGCCCTTATTGCTGATCAAATATGCCAGAGAAGAGTTAAAAGATTGTTCTATTATCTGCCTTTTATTTGATAGTGAAACAAACTTATGAGTCAGCTTTATAAACTGTCTATGCATGGAAACAATGAACTTTTTGGCAAGGAAGAAAAAAAAAGAGGAAGTAATTTCTCTTTCAAGCTTCATTACACAAATTCCCGGAGTGTGCCAGGGACTTGGGGTCCATTTAAAGCAGGCTGATTTCAAGTGATTTTTATTTATTTTTTGAGAAAAAGCAGAACTAGAAAGCCAAGAGCCAATGGAAATAAATGCTGACTCCGGAATACCCCTGCTTGCCTTTCCTTGGAAGAACTGGGCAAGAAGAGGATCCCTGGGGAGAAAGCCTCTTGTGAAGCCAGAGGTGGGCTCTGCAGAACTCCCCGATCCAAGTCCAAAAGGGCAGACAAGGAAAGGCTCGTCATCCAGAACCCTGGCTCAGGGGCAGGAAAGCTGCAGCCCTTCAACACCCATCAGCCCTAGCCAGCACAGCCAATGGACAAGGATGGTGGGAGTTGTAGTCCAACCATGCCCTGACGCTCATATGATGAGGCCACCACACACAAAATGCTGGCAGGCAAACATTCACTAAAGCATTTGCATCAAATCTGCCACAAACTCTTGAAGGATTCAAGGATCCATTTTTGGTAACGTGGCTACTTCTGAAGGGAGGAGCAGAACACACGTCAACAGCTCTGCCTAGAGCCAAGCAGTGTGAGTAGGGAGGGCTGAGGAGGCCTTGCCGCTACAGAGATACATTCAAATGACGTTGAAGTGTTGTGGAAAGAACCGTTTTGCTTGCTGATGCTGCCGCCATCTCCTCCTCTCTCACCCACCCTCTGCTGAGTCAAAATGTCCAGAGAGCACGGAAGGGAAGGCCGGTCAGTCCACCCATTTCTGCCTTTGCTTTACTTGGAGACTTGGTGGATGGCATGGGCCAGGTAAGCCACGTTGCCAGAAGTGACTCCGGCGACAGAGATGCGGCCATCCTTGGTCATGTAGACAGAGAACTCCTTGGTGAGCCGCTCCACCTGGAAAGCAAAGCACAGGAAAGATGCTACTTCAGGAAGGGATCGACTCAGGTAGCTTCCCAAGGCCAGGCGCATCCGTTTGCTACCACCCACCAGGGCCAACTTGCAACCTGGAGGGCAGCGAAGCAACTTTCTAGATCTTCAAGTGAATGCTCTTCAGCAAACAGCAGCCCAGCCAGGCTGCTTGATACCAACTCAAGTCGGCTGTTGCCACATCTCACATCAATGCAACTAACACTGTGCTTCATGTTTTTTAACAATCCCTTTCCACACCACCAGCCCAGCAGAGTGCTTTTATCATCAATGGGGGATCCACATGCTGCCATTCCCAAAGTAGTAGCAGCTGCCGGCTTCCCACACAGCTCCCACTTCCATCCCAGCCCCACTTCCCTCAGCCACCAATTAAATAATGGAAGACATTCTAAATTCTTCAGAGAATTAAAATGCAGCCACACTAATCATGTTCTGGCCTTTTCCTGGTGTGCATCAAAGACTAATTCTATACAGCTGTTCCGGTGTTTGAGGCACTTCGAGCCCATCTGTGTGTGTGTGGGGGGGGGGGAACCAAGAAAATCAAATGCCAGTACAAAATGGTTAGCAAGTTTGATTCAGACTCATTCCTTCACCCACCTGTTCAGGTTTCAGTCCTGTGAAGCAGAACATGCCGATCTGGTCAGTGATGTGCTGCCAGTTATGAGGGGAGCCTTCTTTCTTCAGGTTTGCCACTAGCTGGGTGCGCATGCCAATGATTCGGT